TTGATCTGATTTCCAAAAATTGAAAGTTTTAGAGAGAGTGGCAGTGGATAGAAAATTGAAATATCGATCATACAAGTAACCCCTTTTCATTTGAAAAAAGTATGCAGTGCCCCCTGGCGACAAGTAATGCAACAAAACTCCTCAAATAATAATGAAAATGCAAAATTTTGTTTGACCTAATATTCTGTCTCTTTCAAAAGCTAAGAAGAGGAAGGCTTTTTACGTCTACACTGTAGATTGAAAGTCATGAAAAAATAATTGTATTATATCATCAAATACTTCGTTAAAAATGAGTTGAATTTGCATTCGTCAAATGAAATGAAATACGCTGGCACTAGTCACAAGATGCTTATTCATTTTTTACTTTCAATCGGTACTTAATGCAAGAAAAATGATAATTACGGTTATTTTCTGTAATTTACAGAGAAACTGTATTTTCAATTCATTATTATGTTTTGAAGACTATGACATGTTGGATGTAAGAAAACGCTAATTACTAATATTTGCGTTACAACTATATTTAATTTTTCAACAGAAACATTTATCGTTGATTGGAAAAATGTCGGTCTGTCAAATCAATGTAACATGCAAGATTAGATTATAGCTTATTGTACTAATTATCACCTTCAATTCGAATAGTTGAGAAAGAAATCAATATTTCGAACCTCAAAACATTCAAGCACTTACTGGCGTACATTGCGCCAGTTTCAAAAAATTATAATTCTCGTTTGCTCTCGTTGTGATCTTCTAACATGGTGTATTGTGTAGGTGAAAAAACATCTTCATTTTTTTCATTTTCATTAGGGTGTTTTTCCATTATTTTAAGGATACATTCATTTATTTATTAAAGAAAACCCCCCAGTTCAAACAATATTAGATAAAATGTACGTACATTATAATTTCTTGAGAAAAGTTTTAAACTTCTCCGTAACAAAAGTATCCAAAACCTCATTTCATTACTTGTGATTCACTGTTTGGAATCTTGGGTGTAGTAATGAATATTACTGGAGTTTTATTCTAACAGCAAACCGCTATTTCAACACCTCGACACGTGTTTCGATCACCAAGTAATCATCTTCAAGAGAAGGATCAAACTGGGTTTGAAGATGATCACTTGGTGATCGAAACACGTGTCCAGTTGTTGAAATACCGGTTTGGTATTGGGAAAAAACTTTAGTGATATTCGTCAATTCATTGTAGACACTTTGCACCCTAGTCATAGGATTGCTTTGAGCATAGCTTGTATGAGGCAATACTGTGCTAAATAGCCGTGAATGCATAGTTTTAAAATTGATAGATTTAATAGTAGCTGTGAGTAGACTAATCTCAATTATTAGATCATTGTAGCATCTCGTGTAATAATGTTGATAGTGGTGAGCAATCCAGTGTACTGTTTCTTTGATCTACACCTGTGCCCAGTTGGAATGACCAGCTCTTAGAAATGCTAAGGCAAGGGCGTAGGTTGGCTCTTGATTTTTTATAGAAATTCAGTTACAGGTGCTGAAAAGGGTTACCAAATTGAATTCCCTTATTCAGAAGCAATCTACAGTTATTTCCAGAAATACTGTACTTGTCACTGTTGACCAACTCAGTTACACTGGGATAACTCAAAGGGTTTTGCATCTATAACGTTATATGGACAATTAATTATAGAAGAACACATTTTCCATTCAATTTGTACTTTAAACATTTTTAATGCTATTGAATCAGATAACATTCACAGGATTGCTGAAAATCACTTCTTTGCATCGTGATAAAAAAATTTTATGTCAAACGGTTTTATTGATAAAAAAGATGAAAATGATGTAGATAATGTACTGAAAACTAAAAATAATATGGAAGGTCCTAGATAGCTGTTATCACACCACTCTTCTCAGCAATCTACGGCATTGATCAGATGAAACAATAATGAAATCGTTGGGTGTGGCGTAACCTGAGTGAATATGGAAATACTAGGCCTAACAAATTTAATATTTTTTTTATCTGATCAATATCGTATATATTGCTGAAGAGAGTGGTGTGATGATTGCTACCTAGTACCTTTCAAATTATTTTTAATAATTTTATTTTTCAGTTTCTAATTTCGTAAATGAATTCTTCTCATTCTGTTTGGTTCATGAAGTGCCTCAGAATCACAAGATTATATCTTATCCGTCATTTTGTAGCTGCGGCCATTTCGAATTTGCATCTTTTCAAAAGTGTACTACTATTCTTCTAATCAAACCCGGTCATATGATACCCATATTGAGGTAGTTGTAGGTAGGTAGGTAGGTCTTAAGTGAGCGGGTCTATTCGACCCTCCACCATAATCCACAAGGGTTTATTGTGGCTCACACTCATTCACACTCGGCCAAATAAACCTAGCTTCTTAACGAAGCCGATTAGTTTGTATGGTGAGTGGTCTTTCAGGTCAGATGGTGAGAGTACGGATCTGCCGAACTCAAAGAACCTGATTCGGTCCCCAGCGGGGCAGGCACAAAGTATATGCTCTGCAGTTTTATCATTTTCCAGACAGAGGCGACACACACTGTCTTCCGACAGTCCAAGTCTCTGCATATGATGATTCAAATGACAGTTGGCAAAGCCCAAAGCGATACCAATGACAGGTTCTGGTTCGATGAAGCCGCTTACAGCACCCTCCTTTCCAATAGAGTCAGCAGCTTCATTGCCTTCCAGGTCAGTAACGCCAGGAATCCAGACCAGAGACAATCTGTTAAGTCTTCCTAGCGAAGAGAGTCGTTTTTGGCAGTTTGCTACCAATTTAAACGTTGCTCGGTGGGAGCCAAGAGCTTCCAACGCCGCTTGACTGTCCGAGAATATTTTCATTGACTAGTGAGTGAGGTTGGATTTATCCAATCACTCCGCACACAATTCGATAGCGTAAATATCCGCTTGAAATACAGTCGCATAAGTTCCTAGGCAGGTAGATAACTCTGTCCTGGGTCTGCGACTAAAAAGTTCCTGCACCAAAACCGGAAGATGTTTTTGATCCATCTGTGAACCAACAACTATCTGCTCTTAATATTTCCTCCTCCCGGAGGATCCAGTCCTCTCTACTTGGGAATAGTACTTTATAAGGCAGTTCGTAGTTGACAGTTGGAGGCATGAAGTCAGAGGTCATTTCCAGAATGCTGTGACTTCCAATGTCAACCAACAGTCTGTTGCACTCTGCATTGAATTGATTTGTGCAATTGGCAATGTGCACAAGTCTGTATGCAGTCCATCATTGTAGCTGCGTCCATCTTGAATTTATAATGATACAGAGTTTAATAAATTGTATTGTCATCAAAACTAAATGTGTTTATCAAATTTGAGATTAGTCTGTCATCAAGAATTTCAATGATCAAATTTGACTCAAACAAATAAATAAACAAACGAACATTGTAATTTAGAACTATATGCAAGTGTAGAAAGGGCAAACTTTTTAGGTCGATAAAAGACGATGATTTCCTTCACAAAAGAAGTGGTATATGATATTACTCATATTTTTTCGGTTGGGTCGATCTCCAGGAATATTCACGCGGTACACAAACAACACCCTAAAAAGTTTTGAATTTTCCGGAATTCGTTCTGATTCCCTATTTTCTTCTTGAATATCGAAAAAAAAATGTGATAAATTTCTAAGCACTGATTGTTTTGAGACTGAATGCATGACAACATGGAGCAAATATTAAATGATGACAACATAGATCAGGAACTCTAAGAATTCATGAATTCATATTTGCCAGATTGTGAAAATAACGTCAATAGCCACCAAAAATATTACCATGTCAATTTCAACATTACGCAATTGAATTCTAAATACATGCCAATCAATGTATAAATCGTTTTGAAGTCATTTCGAAGGTGATGATTTTGAGAACATGTCATTTGATATTCAGAAAGAAGTTCTATCGTAATTAGTATCAAATAGTATCTCAATCTTCATCTTCTGAAAAATAAAGTAATTCCAATTCTTGATATGGTATTGATAACGTTATTATGTAATTTATTTACTGCCTCGTCGCTCAGAGAACAATTCAATGGAAATACTTTATCATTGTTTGTACTTTATCACAAAATTCAATTCTAAGAGAATACCAAGTAATTATAATTGTTCAAATACCTCTGGTTTCAATAACATGCATGTCGTCGGCTTAATCGGCATAATGCGTAACTCCATTTCCGAAAAATTTTCAGAGCACACAAAAAACAGTTTTCTGTGAAATAATTCTTAAAACGACTGTGAAGTCATAAGCCTCATAGTCGTAGTTTTCCCATGTTACTTGATCAAGAATGAAGCGATTCACACGATCCATGGCATTCTAGATCAAAAAATAAAAATTGAAATAGAAATAATTTCATTGGTCATATATTGACAAATGAAGTATTATTGGATTCAGAATGTCATTCTCGGTAGAAATAAGTAAAAATATATAGGATGTCCCATTTAAAAATTAAAAGGTGGGGTCATTTCCGGACAAACCGGAATGAAGGCAAAGCATGTAAATATGTCAAAATATGTAAACAGAAGTATAAAACACAACCTCCAAATTTCGTTTTTTTTATCTCCAATAATAAAAAAAGTTATAGGTGAGCCCCCTTTGAGAATCACCCGGTAGAGTATAAAATTCTCTATCGATCAGTATATACCACGACACAGTAGAATAAATATTGGAGCTACAAAAACACATGACATTAAAATAGACAAACTTTTTGAAACAACCTCATAATAACTGTTTTGATCATCCTCATTACCAAAGGTTCCTCCACATGGATACGAAGGGCTCTAATTGTTGGAACTTTGTTTTAGTAATCTCCAGATTATGATAAAGCACACCACTTCTAGCGGCGTGCTTCAGTTCTAGTTTAGGTGAAGTGTTTTCAATAGATTCATTTGACTTTAGGTATGATCCATCATGTCATTGGTCGATTACATATTTTTCAAGGGATATAAACCCGTGAAAGTTATTTCTGAAAATTGAAGTGTATTATAGATGAAAGCGGAATAAAAATCCATATAAAAACAATGGAAACAACATTTATTTGTTTTATTTGGCATCTATAATAAGATTAAATACATGTTTTTGGATACACTGATATGAGTACATGATAATTACCTAAGAACAGTCTTTGTTTCGGATAAATCACATGCAAACATTGAGACATCAAGCTTTATCGAGAGAATCCATATTTCATATATTCCATAGAAACAATTTAAGGTTTTTCTTTCACAGTTTGTGATGAGATTATTACGGATGATGGGTATACGTTGAAATGAAATTTGTTGGGATTTCTACTCATCAACTCCATTTCAGAAAAAGAGATGAAGATGAGATCTAAAACAAAGTAATATATTGAATACTCTCAGGGTTTTTTCCATTTAAATCATTGGTCTACCAAGTATCCTGGAGTTGAAACATTTCAGAACGTTTCAGATGGAAATAAATATTTATGTTACAAGATTTTGAAAATCCTGTTTGAACATGACTTCACTTCATTCTTTGACAAACAAAATATATTGACTGGAAAAACTACTTTTTTCCGATAGGAGCGTAATGCCTGTTGAAGTCTTGTAATGAAGCATCTGTGATTATTACATTTTCAGCACGTAGATAGCAACGTTCATTATTGAGTATTCACCACTCGAAGACAATTGTGGTAACTCGGTTTCAAAAACCTGTAGTATTTTTTGTTTTCACTGTTACTTTTCCCTAGCAAATACGTAAATTCTTCAAATTTTTACAAACGTTTTTTCTTAAAGCCATTGTATGCAATTTGATATTTCGTTATGAAAAGTGAATACTGAAATTGATTTTCTAAGTAGAATTGAATTGTTATGTCCTATTTCTGATTCAAGAACGTGAATGAAAGTAAATTTAGCTTTCGAATTCGACTAAGCAAAATCTCTGACCTATTTCTACAAGTTACCCTTGAAAATGTTATTTCTACGTTGGGTATGAATTGAAAACTTTCTGGGTCGCTTGAATACATTTTACATCTATTATCCTGATAATATCAGATTACCGTTTTCATTTTATTCATTTCACAAAGAAAAATACGTGATATATCATTTATTATGCTGATACTGTGACAAGAATGTATAATAATTCACATTTATAATTGGTTACAAAGGAAGAAGATAAAGAGGTTTTTTACAATTAGCTTCGTATTGATCTGATCAAGCAAAAATCAGATAATTTTGAAAACTGGCATTTTCATTTATGTGATAAACATATTACTTTTATCATACTCAATATGAACATGACATGTGGTTAAACTCTCTTGAAGTTCTTTCTTTTACAACTTTTACCTCATCTCCTTCAATTTATTCTCCTTCACTCTCTTTACAACTTTTTATTCAAATTTGCCATCATCCAAAATAGTTTTGTAGGTTATTTTCTGAAAGTATGTTCATAGTCTCCATCATTTTTTCTTTACAGCTCCTTCACTTTCTGAAACTCTTGAAAGTCAAACGGAACTGAATCTGGTGGGTATGGTGAATGTTCAAAGTCAAATGATGACCTAACAATCAGTGCATTATGGGCTGTATTATTGTCCAGATGAAGCTTCCACAACTTTGGCCCCTCACTACTTATTACCTCACGAATAGTGGCTAGAACCTAAAGATAATATTCTTCGTTTGTTTAGAAGTGGTTGAAAATGTTTCATGGTGAATTTCATTGTCAAATATGATTCTATAATGATTATTATTCTGTAATGTATATTTATTTGGATTACCCCGAAACCTCGTCTTTATAGAATATTGGCTAGAAAGAAGAAAAGTTTGAATTTGGGACATGTTCAATGTACGGCAAAAAACACAACATTTATGTATGTTGAAAGAATACAAATAAATCTGTTTTTCCGTTAGGCAGCCTCCGAACCATAATCATCAAAATCCAAAACTTGAGTGAGCTGCGGATTAACGAGGTCTGACATTCCAACTTACGATATCCAGAAATACGCACAGATAGCGTTTCAGTGAATGAGAAGAACGGATCACTCATGAGGGGATTTTCAAGTTCCATGGCTTCCCATAGCTTAATTTCCTATATATACAACTTTTTGCTAAATGCAGTAGGGCGAATGTTTTTTTAACATTGTTGTCATTTTATCTGCTTTATAAATGAAGAGATGTTTTTTTTTCCAAATGGGTAGGATCTGTACTCTGAATCTTTTCAAAGAGCTGCGACAGACAACTTTGCTCTTCCATAGAAAATATAGAGGCAACGGTCTTTTTGTTGATAGTTGAAACTGAAATAATAAAAAAGAAGATTTGGGGTGTGTCCATTTCTGCTACACTCTGTGATTTCGAATTTCAACATTGTTGAGGTTGTCACAGTTTTCAAAGTTTTCACTGAAGAATGGCCAAATTTGATATTTTATGAATGTTCTTCCATTGTATATTTCCTCTAAACCGATAAAATTAGGTGAAATGGAGGGTGATAAAACTGACAGTCTTGAAACTAATATCTAGGTGTTATTCTTGAATCATACTTGACTTTTGGGGCATAGTTATGGATCCAATCACTGTCACTGTCCTTATCAGATTGAACCAAAGGAATCATATATTCAAACCGGAATTTACAGGTTCAATTTGATATAATGATTATGACAGTAACTAGATCCTAAACTGAAATGAAAAATGAATTGCAACACTTCACTATTACATATTACCTCATGAAAATAATACATTAATCATTCAATTGCAATTTCTCCTTGAATAACAACAATTTATATATGATATCCAGAAATCTCAAGATAACAATCGAAACTTATTTGTATAATAAGACATTTTTAATTAGATTGAAAACGTTATTCTGAATGTGAATGAAAGCGAAAAAAATAAGCGACGTATTTGTGATGTATCTAGTCGCATCAACATGTTAAGTATTGTTGACAAATACGACTTACTTTTTTTCGAACTCAAACTTTCGAGCAATACCAATTGAGCAATTAACAATCGTTAAAACCACTCATCCTACGCACTCCTACTTTTATGATATTGTTTGCTCTCATGGTATAACTGAACAACAGCTGAAGTTTTCGTTGAATAGGGAAATTTATCGATGTAATTTTGAGATTACTACTGATAAAATCTTAATGCTGTTACGATTGTTTCAAAATTATAATTTCCTAAACAACTCATTAGTAAACAAAAAATATTGGTGGTGAAATATCCAGTTCATCAGTAAAATATATCACTTATCGTAAAATCATTTGTATTTTCAGAATGGCTTACAAAATTATCCATTTCCAAATATTTCGATTCGAATTCGCATACAGAATGTGTATTTTCCTTGGAGATAATGAATTTTACCTTGAAAAAAACTAGGACGATGCTGTGTTTTTGTTGCTTTTTGACTTCATGGACGAGAAATGGTATTATTCGTTTTGAAAGCTAAAATATAAATACATTTTATATACCTAATCAGGCCCTGTTAAATTTATATTTCACAATTTTTTAGAGATTTTGGTATCAATAAATACCTGTTAGGTAAATATAAAATAGAAATGGAAACAAATTGAAAACGTTCTGAAATCATCACTCCAGGATACCTGGTATGTCCGTTGTTTCATCAAAAGTTCATAAATTGGACGTAATGAATTTTCATTTTCCTAGATAACGAATGTTCGTGAAAACAGCGTAGGCTGGCCGCTTTCTATTACAGAAATCAACTGCGAGGTTTCTGTTACCATATCTTGATTCGTGGAGAGCTACCAACAGTCGATGGACTTCATCTTTAGTGGGGGAACAAACGAAACGGCTGTCGGGGTCGTATCTGAAAAACAAATAATGTATCCTTTATATCAAAGTTGGTAGTTCACCACAAACTTTGTGTTGAATACTCCAAAATATACCTATACGCCGATGATACATAAATACAACTTCCGTTCCACCCATCGGACATGAATACCGCAATGCAGATGCTAAATGAAGACATAACCTTGTTGATTTCTACTTCTGCGCAGCATTCTCTTCAAAGCAATGCTAGCAAAAGTTCAGTTTTGATGTTCGGGGCTAAGAGAGAATTGAGTGGCTTCAAATTAACTGTAGACAGGGATGTGATTGCACCGACTGAACATCCAAAAAATTCAGGTGTCATTCTTGATTCAAACTTGAAATTTAAACGTCACATAAACATAAAGATACCAACTGGCTCAATTTGACACAACGACAATTATCACATGCTGCTTGTCTATATCATAAAATCATCACCGAAAAAGCACCCAAATATTTATACATAAAATTGTCATACCGTTCAGAACTTCTCAATATCAACATTCATTACAGGAGGAGACTAATATTCCCTATACACCGTACATAATTAGTTGAAAAATCTTTTTCATACCAGATCGCACGAGTGAACAACTAACTCAATTTCTGACAAATTCAAACTGATGTCTTTGAAAAAATCCAAAAGAGCATTGAAACGGAAATATTCAAAAGAAATCTAATTTTATTATGTAAATTAAAATAATCTTCCTTGTATCATGGAGGACTCAAAACCTTTTTTAATGTGATAACTTTGTTTTATTTTATTGACATGTTTCAACTGTTTAAATGTAACATTCTTTTCGACACGGCCATCCTCACCAACAGTAAGTTGAGCCTTTTTGTAACGAATTTATATTATTGCATCACTTTTTTGTGGCTTTTCCTTGATAATGATAATAAACTTTATCGAAATATTGGAATAACTTGTGTTATAAGAGTACACTTCCGTTCTGCTGATCACCCAAAGATAGTTCCTAAGTTTTGTTGCTAACTAGTCAGCAAAGACTGAGATATGACTAGAAATTAATATGAAGTAACATTTATTATTTCTACTTACAAAATAATTGAACGAAATTTCAAATTGATTGGAAAGTTCGACCTTTTCGATTATAGTATGTGAGCTCTAGTCAACTTTTTGTAATTTCTATTTTAGTAAGTTATTATAGACTTGATTGAGATTCTTGATATCGCTTCTATTATTGATACTATTGGGATCTATTTTTATGTGGATCATTTCAATGAAATTTCTAACTTTTGGATTTCGTTCTTTGGTCAAAATTTCAACCTTGTCAAATTCGAATTTATGTTTATATTTTTTTTCATGTTTGGGCAAGGCTGTAATGTCAGTTTTCGAATATAAACATATGTGGTCAAAAAACATGAAAAACAGAGTTTGCATCTTTAGATACAACCAACTGATTTTCAGCCATTCCCGTTTCAGTGATTGTTCACACATATTTATTGTATGGTTCTGGGAATACAGACCATTCATTATGATTATTATTGAATTTTCGTTTTGATAGCTCTTGCTGGTTTTTAGAAAAAAACCACACATATAGAATCATTTCCACTCCACTGATCACGAGTTTGAAGTCGAAATTTAGCGCTCTGGTTCACTTTTCTCATAAATTGAAACTGTGGAAAACGACTATTCCAAAGGCTCACTTCTGCAATGGAAACTCATGAAATGACATCTTTTTTTATACCTATCACTCACACATTTCAAATGTTAGTTTAGTTATCGTTACTAGGTACTTGCTGACAACAATACAATAAAACGTCAAGAAATAGAAATTAGGTTGCCATATTTCTAAAATTTTATTTGGCTTTGCTCTAAAAGAAAAAGAAATCAGCTGTTTCTGTTTCCATTCATTGTCGTCAATTCTTCTTCGTCAATTCAGCCTTTTCACAAATGAAACTTTACACAAACTGTGGAAGACACATTCTGAATGGTAGAGAATGAAATGGCATTTTTATTCGATGAACGTTTGAATCCGACAATATTGAATTCCTGGTATGGTTTGTGTTATTATTATTAACAACTGTGTTGATAACTTCATGTCGGTTTAGTTCCCTCACCGAACATCATCCCAAAACGAATTTATCCTAGGGTATGCGTATTCTTCCAGAAAGGATGTGATACTATATGAGCCCATCAATGCCATTAACAGAACCTCTGAAATATCAGGCGTTTTCTTTTTGCAGAAAGCCTTGTAACGGTAAAGCAGGGTTCTACCGTTATGTATCTCTTTTTCTTAGTTACTCATACCCTTTGTAGACCTTCAGTAACCAATAACGAAGAAGAATATCGCTCAAACTACCCCAACTATCCGCTCTGTACCATCGAATAAAGAACGAGAGCTTTCAGTTCTCCAACTTCTGAGCTTGTTAAGAAACCTAGAAGGTCCGTTGGTGTAGTCAGGATGCGACATAGTTGCCTTCTGTCTTGCACCAAATTTTTGAGCATCAGAAGTTGAATCTGCCTCAGGAACGGCAACAATATCCCTGCGAAGGTCAGCAGATGCTTATGTTCAGAAGATGATTCACCAAACCACATGTGAAAAGATTCTGCATGGCTGAATCTGATATATTGTCAGATATAGCTGACCTCATATGGATTCCCTTGTAACTGGATCCTCTTCAGTATGCATTTGCAATTATGACTGTTATAGAGGATATTTCAGAAGATGGTCCATAGATACGATTCCAGTACTGCACGTTCCGGACAACAATGGTTATTACAGATTATCTGGGAGGACCAGGAACCCGTTTCTTGTCTGAGGTATGCAGTTAGTAACATGCAGTAATAAGAGGGCACCTCGAGATATATATGGACATCATTTTATCTAATTGAAACCATAAAATCCTCGACCCAATGATGATCCACTCCATCTGAATGAGAGTAGTCTCGATTGAATCAGAGTTTCGAGGAGATTTCGCCTTGCCGAATTCTTTTGAGTACCGCTGAACGAAAAAGAAACACCTTTGTTTCAATCCTTTCGACATGAATTGGTAACTGTTGTAATTGATGACTATTAAGAAACATGTCATTCCTCACGATAATATGCACATTTTTTCTATTAGAGGTAGGTGTTTGTTGGTAGCACAACCAGTGCCATTTCCATTCAACACAGTTGACGAAGAATCGCCAAGGACGCGAATCAAAGTAATGATTTTGTTTCGAAAGTTTTGTAACTTCAATGATATGAATAATTAGAGTGAATTATGTGGTAAAAGAAAATGGAGCAATGGAAATAAAAAATTGTTACTCATGTTGAATATTTCTCCATATTTTTCATTGAATTTGATAGAAAATATTGGTCTAGAACCTGATTCGCAGTAGTTTCACCACAAATATTGTATACATTATTTCTCGAAGACACCTACCTCACATTTTGCCTTTTCCATGGATATTTTCTGTAATATCTCATTCTCTTCATTGGAACCGGGTTAACTTGCTCATCCTCCTCCACCACATGGTCATTGAATATTGAGTTATCTGGTTGCTGAGCAACATTGTTGTTTTCTACGTACAGCAGAGGACTCTCGCCATTCGGCCAGGGCAGGATTAGTAGCTTTCGCAGAATATCTATAGCTTGTTCCAATTCTTCATTCTGCATTTCATTGGCTAACAAACGATCGGAATCAGCTGCAAACATAAAACATAATATAGACAACTGATGTTGATTTCAATTTTTTTCGTTAATTTCAATACTGAAGCATCAAATATATGAAGATGGTGTGGTTACATAGTACAGAAAATGAAGTACAGTTTTGCCTACTATAGAGCAAAAGAAACAAAGCCTTTTTCTGGGTAACACATCAATATTAAACATTTTGGCAATAACTGTGAATACTTTTTCAAAATAGAGAACAGATTTCTGTCATCTATTCGATCAGCTTCATCAATGATCTCTTTTCCTTGGAAGCGAAAAAATGTTAGTTCATTTTCTGTACTGCAAGGCTGTACTCAACAAAGCTACAAATAATGAATGTTTCATCATAGTATTTCAATTCAATTGTTTCGATTAGGAAACAATTACAAGTCGAGGATTTTATCCTTCCGTAGTTTCATTATTCCCAATGGAAAATATGAAGAGACATTACGAGCTGGTGAATTTTATTGTTCATCTGTTTTTTAGAATAGTCATGGAGTTATTTCAATCGATTATCTAAAAACAAAACCATTTCAGCCTCCTCTGGATCCACCATAGGTCTCATCTGAACCACAAATGGAATGTTAGAATTAGCTGTCGTTAAAGGATAATACTGACTAAAAAAGCAGGAGTTCTCCTCTCAGAGCCAGACGGGATGCCGAAATCTGACTTTTCAACGGACTGCTTTTGGATGTTTACCAATGATATTCATTATTAGTTCATCTGTCGGTCCTCTGTCGAGAAGACAAACAGATGCATTCAACAATGCATTCAGCCTAGTACCATTGATTAAACCAGAAGAGAGTTAAAACAGCGCTATGTTCTGTCGGATAGGAATGTTTTGTGATTGGGCTTTTATATCAACTAGTTGATTCACAGCTAAACTTTTAGAGAAAGATAGAGCACAAATTATGATGGAAGATGGACGTCAAAGATTGCAACAGAGTTTGGGAGTCCCGTTCATGATTATCATTTGTAGAAAGGGTATCCTGGTAGAGGTACTCGCTACTCACTGAAATAGTTATTAAAGAAAAAAAATGTCAGAATCAATGGCAATCTACAAAGCTGAACTACTTTGTGGATGCAGTTTTGATTACAATTTTTTTCATTTACTCGTGAAGTCGATTCGGTGTTTCTTTGAAGTTAGATACTCCTTCGTAAAAAACATCAAATTTTCGGAATGGAACTGGCTCTTGTGCTTTGTGAGTAGTACTTCATTTCCTCAAATTATTGAAGGTTTTTTATATCGGTCGATATTAGATTTTACACTTGGCTCCTCAATCTAATATGACCATTCCAAGTTTTGAAAACTTCTGACTCGTGTTATTCTAGTGAATTCTAATAAAATTAGATTGAGTAAGAAAATACGGTACACATAACTCAAAACGTGAGTAAAGTCATGTTATATTTTTGAGGCACTGCATCATCATCATCAGTAATGTGTAGCCTAGTTTGAACTCCTGTATTACTTAGTTGAAGCTCACTGGCTTACAGAGACAGGCTTGTCTGGCCATCAGTGGTGCCATCAGTACCACAACGTTAGTATCCATCCTTCTAGATCTACCTCACTCCATATTTTTCAGGAGACAGGGGCTAGATGGACTGCAGACAGAGTACGCTAGACTGCTGGTTGACACTGGAAGTCATAGCATTCTGTGAATGACTTCTGACATCATGCCTCCGTCAACTACGAACTGCCTTATAAAGTACTGTTCCCGAGTAGAGATGACTGGATCCACCGGGATAAGAAGAGATAGTTGTTGGTTCACATATGAATCAAAAATACCTCTAGGTTCTGGTGCAGGTGTTTTCATTCGACTGTATTTCAAGCAGAAATATATGCTATTGAATTGTGTGCGGAGATATTGGTAAAATCCAACTTCATACATAAGTATATAAAAATATTCTCGGACAGTCAAGCGGCATTGGAAGCTCTTGGCTCCTACCAAGCAACATCTAAATTGATAGCAAATTGCCAGAAACAACTCTCCTCTATAGGGA